CAAAGATGTGCTGGTAAAAATCCATAGAGTGACATTGATATTAACTTGAGAGAGAGAAAATAAGAGAGGTTCACTTTCCCCATCTAGAACGGCATTCTTATAATAGGAATCAAGTAAAAAGCAGCCTGTAATACTGTGCATTTTCACTGTTATACAGCCGATTATAGCGTAAATGAAGGGGAGCTTATTTTGATAGCCTACGTATAGAATTCTGTTTACAGTTCTCTGACACCATCCAGTGGCAGGAGGTTAATGTTAGACTAGTTTCGTGGGGATTTTTTTGTTTTTGTTTTGTTTTGGCTTTAATTTCCACTGCCATAAAAGACATTTTACTTTAGTTTTTAAGCCTGTTTCTAATGCTGTCAGATTATTTAGTTTTTAAATCCATTTCCAGTGCTTTCAGACCGTTTTAGAGACCTAATTCAAGTTCTCCCTTTTATTCATCTTCCTAAAATGTCTATCGCATAACAAAAGCAAACTGAATGTCCAGAAGCAGAAAATATCAGTCATTTACAGCATCCTTGTTGAAAATATCTTTATTTGTATGTCCTGCTTAAAAGGCTGTTTTGTATTTCATATGTACCAAAATCATAGTCTTTTGATTGTGAAAAAGATTGGTTCACTTTTCCAACTTCCTATTTCCATCCTTTTGCCTAAAACCTTTTTGTTAGCTTGTGTCTTGTATTGATTTTGTTAATACATTAGTCAAGTAGAGTCTAGAGCAATCAACGTGGTGCAGCATACATCTAATGTACTGCTCCCATTCTGACCTGTCAGTAGATTAACCTCAGCAACTTCATGAAGAGAAAATGTTGGTTTTAAATACTCGGATACTACAAAGAGCATAATGTTTTTGCTTTGTAGGAAAATAGCCAGCAAAATGTCTTTCGCTCTATCTCACCTCCCCCTACACTCCTTTTATGGAAAAGTCCTATCTATCAATCCATCTGTCTAATCTTAGTTATATTTTTGCTATCACTGTTGTATCTGTGTGCCAGATTAATCCTGCGTGGTTCATTAGAAATTAAAAGGGATTCCATACGAGTTATTCTAACAACCTAAAGAATTTTATAGTGAAAGATACCTTTTCTGTAGACTTTTTAATACCACCCTGAAGAGTTCTTCTGCATGTGGATAATGTATTTCTGCCTTAAAAACTAGAGGATGGTTGGGAAAAAAAACTATGTCAAGGTTATAATCTTCTATGAAATTCTACCAGACTTTTCTAAACATTACAGAGCAGGCAGGGCTCCTTTCTGTCATAGATTTCAGATGCTGCTTAGTGGTCATTGACCTTTGTAGACAAGCTGTGACTGTCCGTGCAGTGCATGGGGATGGAAAGCATGACCTCTTCTCCCAGTGCCGCTAGGACAGTAGCAGACAGTTAGTTATTCCTCCAGCCATCTGCCTCTTCGATCACAAAAGTAACCAGACCTGCTGCTACAGGGATGTCTTTGGCCTCTATCAATTGAAGGAGTGGGAACCTTGACTTGAGCCCACTGCAGAAACAGGCTCTTGCTTGTGGCAGAATAGAGGTATTATCTGTCTCGATATATTGTATACTTATAAAAAAAACAAACAAAAAAACCCGCTCCATGTTTCTATTCAGCAAAATCACACTTTAAAATCATGAGCGTCCCGAAGAGAAAGTTGCATGCTACTGAGCATGTTTACTGCATGATTAATAATGAAGGGGGTAATTAAAGTATAACTGCAGATATAATTACAATTCATTTTGGTAAGTCTAGGAATTATGAAGTAATTAAACATTTTGACAAGGCAAATGAACAAGGAATTTGGTGTGGGGGAGGGGGAGTTCTAGAATCTGCCCTTTAAGAGGATCAGTTCAGGGCGTTATGCTGACAACTTATGATGCAGTCCCTAGTGTGAATTCCACCAATGCAGCCAAAACACCTGATGAGTTGTTGATGCCTGAAATCATGGACGAATTTGTCCCATTATGTCCGGCTCACTTTGTATGTTGCTTAGGGCATCGATTTTCAGAATTGTCACTTAGCTTTGTTGAAGACAAGGGTCTGAAAAGTCCAGATTTTTCTTCACTGCTCTGTTTTCCTAAATGAAGGGGTTATAACCAGGGAGGAATCTGAACAACTACTGTTGCTGTTTTGGAAGAGTCAGAAACCTTCACCATTCACCTTGTGACCCTGTTCCTGAAAAAGGATGGGGGAGCTGGGATGAAAAAGAATGAAATCAAGAAAGGAAAAAGATGATCAGAAAAAGGACTTGAAATCCTACAGAGTTAGTGCAATCAAAATTATGTCAGGGTAATTTAATTTGGAAATAAAAAAATCAGCATATTTCTTGAGAAATTCCCTCTTTCCTGACACAAACTGATTATAGTTTATCTTCGTGTTCTACAGCAGTGTCCTGGCACATTCATGTGCAGCAGTCTTTAAAATGGCTAGCATCCTTGTGCTCTCATTTAGGTGATCTTATCTCACCACTGAAGCTTTTGGTGCTCACATGATTGCCAGATGTGTAGCAACATTCCTTGGTAAACATGCTTCATAATTCGTTGGTCTTCCATCCTAACAGTAGGACCGTACCAAAGCCACTGAAACTGAACCAGTGCCAATGGAGACAGTTGTTGGGGTTGGCTACGAATACCCTTGTTTCTGATCTTGTCCTGCTACTGCAGCTGACAAAGACTGAGAGAATCAAAAATGTCAGTCCACCACTCTCCAGCCTTCCCCAGTGCCCACATTTCATCGCCGTACAATAAAGTTGGTATAACTATGCTTCGGTGGATGTGCACCATTTTGGCAACACGTCGTCTCGGTGATGCTAAAGAAATAGGTCCAGCACATCTGTGTTCTACACAAATGTGTCCCTGGATTTTCTTTGGACTCCAAACGGAAAGTGATTGTTGATTTAACTGAACAGGGTTGTAGAATGTATACATTTAAGTCGGGCGTAAATTATGGGGAATAGTGAAACATTTCCACAGTTCAGAGTGAGAGATTTTACTGGCTGTTGGAACTGTGGAAAATATTGAATCTTTAAGGTTAAAATCAATATTGTCACTCCTAAGCACAGGTCAGTGAAATTATTACATTAGGACTTTATATCTGGCAAAATTAACATGGTTCTTTTACCTCGGTGCTTAGCAGCGTTAGTTCCCATGACTATTTGACAAGTGTTCCCCAACAACTAAAGGGTTAGGAGTGTTTTAAGAGAGAGCTCCTCAGTCCCCAGAGGAGAACGAACACCCCATATTGTGCTCTAGTGGACATGTGCCGTGGTTACAGAAGCATGAAGATTTTGAGGGTGAAGGTGTAGACTTTGGAACTCATAGCAACAACAGAGGACATCGAGAACTCAGGAAATTTAGTGATAGGCTCATATTCTGATGAGGTGCAGGGTCTATTTAATCTACATATCTAGGGAACTCTTTGGCCCCCATCTCTGTCATATCTGAGCATCTATGATGCCTGAAATCATGGATGAATTTATCCCATTATGTCCGGCACACTTTTAACATACCGGGCAAAGTGATTTCATAGTCAGATCGTGATTTTGAATATGAATATCATTTTCAGTCAATTCCCGGTTCTTTCACATATTTCTATAATGCCCTGTTTTGACCCAGTGTTGTTTTACATACAGAGAACCTCTTAGTAAAAAGTAGAGCCTGTTTGCAAGCAATGAATGAACAGGAGAATAAACTTAACATTACTGAACACACAGATGGTGGTGAACAGTTTGCCTAGTTCTTAACAATCCTCCATTTTGGGGTCTCAGTTGCCTGGCAGCCTTCCTTGTAAGTGTCCTGTCCGTCTCCCTTGGGAAGTTTTAGATGTTCAGTATGTGCTTAGTAAATCCTCAGAAAGGGTTAAGAGAAAGTAAGTCTGCCAGTAATATTCTAAATCCTTTGTCTCGCCCATCATGCAATGCAAGTAAAAACTACCCATCATTTTCAGTTTGGTGTTTCCAGGAGGTGCCAAATGTATTGCATCAAACCAGGTAGGAGACTTCTGGGGAGACACTAAATATATGTGATCACTGTGCCAGAACGTTTCGAAGGACCTGTCCCTGTGCAGCTTTAATAAACGAAGAGCTTCAATGACAATCAGTCATCTCTTTTCATTAATCTGTTCTCATTTAACTCTGCATTTGCCTTTATGAGAGTCTGACAGTGTGAAACGTGCATTTCCCTGAAATGTCTCTCTTAATTTATAGCCTTTTTTCATGACTATGAGAGTGCTCTGTTGAGTGTATTTGAAGTGTTGGTCTAAAAACAGAGCGCATAGGGTCAATAGCTGTACAGTCTTACAAATGATATTATAGTATTTGGTATCTTTCAAGGAACAAAGGATAATGTCATGCTCATTTTCTGAATAATTTACAAATTATTCAGATGCTCTTCCATCTCCACTACCCTCCTGGACTTTAAGCAGAGGTGCAGAAGTACTTTATGGGCAGAGGGTCAGACTATTCCTTGGCTACCTGCATCAGGTACTCCCAAACAGTCAAATTCTTAGTATTGCTCAGAAACCTAAAGCTTCTTAAAAAATAAAAATAATAATTTTACTCCTTTGAGGCCATCACAGGTGATTTTAGAGTTATAATTTGTAACTGTGGTGGTTTTTTTTTAATAATAATGCCACTAACTTGAGTCCAGTACTTTAGTCTTCAAAATGTTTTACAAATCTTAATGGAATGAAGCATGGTCCATTATCCAGGGGATAATTATCCATTGACTTCAGTGGACATTGGATTGGCCCCTGAGTCCTCATAACTCTCCTGTGATATAGGTAAGTACTGTTATCAGAGAGTAGCTTATCTGAGACCACAGAAGTAGGCACTGTCAGAGTTGGAATTAGATTTTAGGAGTTCCTGGGCTCAGACCCCTAGGTGACTCCTCTCTCTTTAAAGCAAAATGAAATCTGGTTTAATGCTTTAAACCAGGTTGATGAAGGGTTAATAGAAAGCATTTGCAACATGTATTCATTAGTTAACCTTTTCAATTTCCTTTCTAGGAACGAATGTTCATGAGGCCCAGCGCATTCTGAATGAAAGCGGGTTACCAATCACCTCTGCAAGGGACCTTGAGGATGCAGCAAAGAAAGCAGTGGCTAGTGTGGAAAGCAAATGACTCCTTGAAGATATTTGCCTGCAGAGGGTCTGTGATTCACAAAAGTGACATTCACATTCTTGTTGCAGAGAGAATTATTAGGGTTCCTTAAAGCAGTCATCAGTATTGCTGAACTTACCTATCTGACATATCCAGAGGGTACCAAAATTAGTGAATCCTCAATCTGCATATTTCTGGATTGAGAAATATGTTAATTAACATTTAATTCCACAAAGTTCCTGGGGTTTTTTGCATGTGTGTTTTTCCAAAATAATGCAGTTGATGGGTTTGTGAATAAGGTATAGTCAGTAATTTACTGACTCCTGTCAATCGGGTTGTTCCCTAATCCAACAAATACTGTTTGCACATTTTTTTGGAAAAACATTTAAGTTCATTTTTCATATCCTAAAGAGTCAGCAGGCAAAAGTAAATCCTAATAATTGATTGATTGTATTTTTATGAATTTTTTACAATAACAAAAAAAATCTGCTTGCAATAAATATATTTTTTCAGATGTATAGGATTTGTTTTCTTCCTTAGATAGTTTGTGGTGTATCACACTCCATGCCTTAACATATCATCTTTGTATTCAAATACAAAAAGTATACCTCACATTAGGAAGAAAAATTGAATATATTATTTGTGGTAGTGAAAGGACCTTCCATTCTTATACTGTACCAGTAAACAGATGAAATGTGATTCAGTTGATTGTGCTGGGCATTGGAGGTGAAATTAAGTATAGTCCTTCCAAATGTAACAGTGACCTACAGTATCTATGGGTATATGTATGCAGTTAATCTAATGGCTGCCAACTTTTCAAAATAAACTCTTTAAGTAATAGGAGGTATTTGAATTCTGAATATTCAGCATAACGTATAAATCAATAGCAGCACTATGTGAGTAATAAAAAAAAATTCTCAAAATAGTCATTTTATTTCCAAAAAACAATTTTGATTTGCTGTTAAAAAAAAAACAATTTTTCTTGTTCAATTTTCACAAACATTTGAATGTTCAAGCTTTAGTAACACAAATACTTTAGACAAGCAAATTCTAAGTTGCAGTACTTGAATATCCACTAAAAATCCAATTTTGATTGTGTAGTCATTTGTACTGTTATAATAGTTCAAGCTGTTGATTATTCAATCAGGGAACAGAAGATACTATCATGTGGCTTGAGTAACTAACCAATGCAGTACACATTGCAGAGCACAAACTGCTGAAATTTGTGAATAATTTTGAGTAATGTACCAATGAGAGCACGTCATAATCTGTTTCTGAACAATTTGTAAATGGGGAAAAAGGTAAAATTTGTCTAATAAATTATTCATTGTGAATTATTTGCTCCGCTCTAATCGACACTCTGCTTTATTTGGAAAAAAAATACTTTGTCATTTAAATTTGTGTTGACATTTCCATGGCAACATTTATATTCAGAAATGATTTTTTTTATTAATCTATGTAGATATACAAGTAAAGCTAGATTCTGCAATTACCTAATTCCTCTTCCTTCAGCCTGTTGCCCAAGGAAACAAATATATCATCATTAGAATAGTGATACTAGTGTGAGTTACTGTCCATATAAGAAAATTACTAATTCAATTAAAGATAATAAGTATTTGATTAATTTAATGAGGTTCTGGTAAATGATTGTACGGTGGGCTACTTAAAAAAAAAAAAACACTTACCATTAACATCTCAGTATGAAATTATATTCTAAGTACAGGAAAATAAAAACATTTTTGTGTCAGTCAGTAAAGTGGCAAGGTAAATATTTCCTTGTTAAGGTCCCATACAGTATCTAGCTTTCTTATGGTATCCAACATATACAACAGATATGTTCACTCAGGTTAATCTGCATATAGATCTGAGAGAAGTCGGTTTTTGTTTGGACCTGTGCTAATTAATCCAAATTTTCATATTACTCGTAGCTTTTTTAAATAATATTAAATAGTGATTTTGAAAGTTTTGTGGTAGTTGAAATTAAATGTTTTTTGCTACCAGTGTTGTTTGAAGCAGTGCTGATTTCCCTAGGAGTTTGTGTTTAAACTTTCTACTAAATTTTTTAAAATATACAGAGCTGGTAATTAAATTTAGCAACCCATGAAAAGGAGTTTAGATTTTTGAGGGAAGGAATTTAACTTAATATGGCTGACTCAACTTCCAGTGGTAAATATGATTGTAAATGGATCCAGTTTTTCATTTTAAAATTCATCTTAATGTCCACGGAACTGCCTACTTTGGCAGAACATGTGAATAAATGCTCCTCTCTGTTCTTTATGGCCTCACTAAAGTCCGTGGCAAAACTCCTATTGACTTCAACAGGATAAAATCTTGATCCTGTATTTCTCACCCATGCCTTAAACAGTGAATTTCAGTTTCTTGCATTTAAGTGGGGAAAATAGTACTTGAAATTTAAAACAATTTTTTTATACTGGTCACAGAAGTCTTTTCTTGCCTTACCATGAGCATCTTCTCTACTTTGATCCAGTAATTTGCGACAGTCACTGGAATGTGTCTATAAAAAATGAGTGAAAGATGCACACTAACTTACCTTTTTTGGTTCTAAATTCATAAAGAATATAACATTTGGCACATTGGTATGAAATTTTTTTAAATGTTTTCATGTGCACCAAATATTTAGCCAAATAAATGCAAAAGTCAACCCGATTAATGACTTTGCGTATTCTTTTTAGAGGAAGAAGACTGATTTGTTTGCCTGCTGACTTGTCTGCTCTTCCATTTTGCACCTTCTTATGGACTTGTGAACTGAAGCCCATGTGGATTTATTTCCATATGGGCAATTCTTGTGTGATCTTAAGCTTTTAAGCATTTTGGTTGGTTTGTTTTAAGCTGTATGCCTCCATTTATAAGGTGTTTCCAGTCCTGTCCAAGCATCATACCCAATATCCACATACAGAATGGGGCAGTGCACTGCACACTTACAAAAACCTTATTTTTATTTTGGGGACAATATGCAGAAACTATATAAACTCTGGAGAATGCTTGCACTTCAGAGGTGCTGTGGTTTGACAACACTGGTGCAGTTTGAAGATTAGAAATGCCAAATTCATCAGCATTTTTTCACTCCAATAATTAGAACATGTGCTGGGTTCAAAAGTACTTTTCACTCTTTAGTTGTTCGATGTCCTTGGCGTGACGTTCTTTGCACGGAATAAACGTGCCAAAACAGCTGGTGCCAAGGAATTGGAACCAAAACCTTGTAATTTGTCTTTGCATTTGTTCCCCACCCCCCTTTGGATGCATGGCCTCAGTCCTGCAGGGCACTGACTGTGGAGCCATACGGAGAAGGTGACCGTTGAGGTTTGGCATTCAGCATCAACTCCGCAACTGGCTTCAGTAGGCGCACAAGGGTGAGCTTCTAGCAGCTTTGTCAGTCACGGTGCTTTGTCAGTCTTTTGTACAAACAATCCACGGGGTTGCTGAGTGGCCAAACTGTCACCAGACAGAAGTGGAGTGGGTGTCGAGGCCTAGTGTTTAAGACGGAACCCAGGCATGACATTAGTGACACAGCAGTCATTTTACTTCATAAGAATCCCGACAAGTACTGGAAGGCAGATTGCAAAACACAGGCCATCTGGAAAACGCCAGCCGAAGGCACACATGGTGTCAAACACCATTGTACGTAACTTGCTTCAGAACGTAGATTCATGTGACATTTTGATAGTGTATTTCCATCTTTTAACGTTCCCCTGGTTTTCCCTCACGAATTCCTTGATAACCACGATAGAAATGCCTAAACACGCAGTGTGCTCAAAAGACCTCTTATGGTGGAACGTGGAGGCATGAGGAGCAGCATTTCTGGCTCATCGGATGCTGCATGAGTCTCTGGGGCTCAGGGTGTACCTTAACAAAGGAACCCCGGAGTCCGACTTCCTGTCACATGAACTGCTGCCATAAATCGGTACTCTGCACAGTGTCGGAGCGAGACCGATTATCTTTACTGCAGCGTGTTGGGTCACAGACTGGTAAGAACCGCATTCACCAGCCTTGGCAGCTGCTTCACTTGCAGCACCTCGGCAGGATTGAGCCCTAAAAGGCTAATCTGGCGTGTGTACTCATGAAAGTAGTCTCAGCGCACTCAGCAGGAATACGCCTGTGGGTGAGAACAAGCTGTGAATAAAATTTCACCCTTGTTCAGAGAGCCAGCACAAGATCTAAGCACAGTTAAGTCCCACTTAATGTCTGTTTTGAGGGTTTAAATGGGATTTAAAGTGGTCCATAGGCCTTGAAAATTCACTATATGTTAATAAAGGTTCTAGGACAGGGCCCTATTAGAACAAGAATAAAAGGATGAAAATCCTTGCACACTGACATTGTATTAGGGATTGACAAGATCTCTTTAAAGTTCTTCCAAAGAAAAAGTAACAGCTGGGTGTTACGGACTTTTGTTGTGGTGATGGATATTTCTAGTGCTGTTGTACTGGGAATGGATTCCATCTAAGGGCATCACAAGAACTCGTAAAACAAATTTGTTCCTGCACAATATTCAGCTATCCATTTTGGATGTAGGTAAGAGGAAGTGTGGACCCTGGCAGGTAACTCTTGGAACCTTAGAGGAGCCTTGGCCATGCCTACAGAGTGACAGAGATGAATAGCTCGGAATAAAGTTATGGTGAAGCTAGGACATCATGCAATAATACCTGTGGGTAAAGGACTGTGGCAGGGAACCTTAGGAGAGTTTGAAGCTATGAATATCCAGTTGGGATTGCTGTTTAGCGGAACTCTGTTTTGAGCAGGACCAAAGGGGGAGATCTGGGTAAGAGCAATTAATGTGACTGACCAGGAAGTGCAGCTAGTGAAAAATCAGACAGTGGGGACAGTGTCTAGCGTAGCTGGCATCTCAGTTATGTTTGGTGTGCCAATAGATCTACCGAAGGAGACCCAGACTGGGTAGGTTCAGCGCAGTTCAGGAATGATTATCCATTGATCTAGCTACCAATTTGCTGGTATATGAAGATAACAGGATTGTCTTGCCAGCCAGCTTACAGGGAACAGTACTGGAGGTCTTCATGATAACGAAGTGCAGGCCACCTGGGTATGAAAAACTGATCTGCATATTCAACAGATTTTTTTGGTTAGGCATGGCCACACATGTTAAGGACTGTCATAAATATAGAGAAAAAGGATAGCATAAAATCCCTCCTTGGCAGCTGTACTAAATCGCTTTACCTGCAAGGAGTTAAGAAGCTCAAATAACCTAGTTGGCACCTGACCAGAAGGACCAATGAGAAAAGAAGATACTTTCAAATCTGGGGGGAGGGGGATTTGTTTATGTCTCTCTTTGTTGTTCCCGCTCCGGGTGGATGGAGAGAGAAGCCAAGCAGGTACACATCTGAAAATAAACTTGGAATAATCCATCTAAAATCACAGCAATTGTAAGTAAGACAAGGAAAGGCGTTAGGTTATCTGTTGTTTTAGCTTGTACATTTTCCTATGCTACAAAGGTAGTTTTATTCCTGTTTTAGTAACTGTGAAGCCGAGTCCAGAGGGGAGTCCTCTGTGTTTTAAATCTTTTTATTACCGTGTAAAGTTACCTCCCATCCTGATTTTTCAGGTGTGAATCTTTTAGTTTTTTCTTTATAATAAAGTTCTTCTTTTTAAGAACCTGATTGATTTTAATGTCCTGAAGATAGTCTGGTCTGTACTCACATTGCTAAGGCAATTAGTTGGTATATTATTCTCAAGCCTCCCCAGGAAAGGGGGTGAAGGGGTTTCGGGGGATATTTTGGGGGGATAGAGATTCCAAGTGACCCTTCCCTGAATTTTGTATAAAACACTTGGTGGTGGCAGCAATACCGTCCAAGGACAAGGAAAGGAATTTGTGCCTTGGGGAAGTTTTTAACCTAAGCTGGCAGAATATAAGCTTAGGAGGTCTTTCACGCGGGTCTCCACATCTGTACCCCAGAGTTCGGGGGGGGGGAGGACCCTGATAAGGACTGAATACTTTTTATCTGTCAAGACAGGAAAGCACCAGCAAGAAGAGACAAAATTCCTTTAGGGGAAGTGCCCCAACATAGTAAGTCCTGGGAGTTCATACGAATTGACTTGAAAGGCCCATTACCAGAAACACCAGCTGGACATCGGTATTTGCTGGTAGCGTCTGACACCCCCTCAAAGCCAACGGTGGCGCAGCCACTGAAGGATAAAAGGACTGGGACAGTTAAGGCAGCATTTGTGAAACATGCCATGTTGCAGTTCAGCCCACCAACCTTCATCTGCGGTGATTGGGGGAAGGAATTTGAATCACGGTTCTTACACGAGGTCTGCAGACCCCTCCAGGTGAGGATCATGTCACCCGCCCGTTCCTGCAGCTCCATGTAGACACGCCCTGACTTTTTCTCCCTGCCCTAAGTCACGTAGGTTTGAGGAGTACCAGGAACAAAGATCCTGCTCTCCCCACGCCACTCGAGCTGTGAAATGGGGCAGCAGCAATGTACCTGGGAATGGGGTGCAGTAGTCTTCAACTGTGTTGGGGCCAGTCATTATCTATGCCTATATATTGGTTCTATGGCTGGAAGGGTTCTTTGTAGCGAGAGAGAGACTTTATTCTTGAGAAAAGCAGCTTTTCATTTCGTTCCCAGAGAATGATGTCCAGCTGTCAGGAAATGAAAATCAGATTATGCAAACGCCAGATTTATCTTAACAAAAAGAACACTGTT